TTCACAGGCTACACATTTGGCAGATAATTAGTACTTACTGAGAGACCAACACTACTTAGATTTAATTTTATGGTTAATTTTGGAGATCAACCTATTCTTTAAAAACAACTTGTAACCTGATTTTTGTACTATTTTATGTATGTTTGACTCATTTAAATTGCAGTTCTCAGCCATTTTTAGCATTACCACTTGGCCTAGATAATTTTCTGTCCACTAGACACGAATTTTTGAGCTAACAAGAATTGAAGAAAAGTTGTTTTTTGAGGTGGAGTTGCTCTGTTGCCCAGGCTAGAGTGCAGTGGCACAATATCGGCTCAGTGCAACTTCCACCTCCCAAGTTCAAGCTATTCTCCTGCCTCAGCCTTCTGAGTAGCTGGGGCTACAGTCGCATGCCACCATGCCCAGCTAATTTTATTTTATTTTAATTTTAGTAGAGACAGAGTTTCACTGTTAGCTGGGATGGTCTTGATCTCCTGACCTCGTGATCCGCCAGCCTTGGACTCCCAAAGAGCTGGGATTACAGGTGTGAGCCACCGACCTTGGCCTGAAAAATTCTTTTATATATGTTAATTTGGTAATAAGTTTCATGTTTTCCTTGATGGTTTTCTGTATTCTAATCTGAATTGTTTGCTCTTTTTAAATTGTTGAGTACTGTTAAGTTGGGGCTTTGCCATTGTTCCGGGGTTCTCTGCCTCTGAATTTATAATCTGTTTCCCAGATCCCATGGCTTTGTTGTTTGGGTGCAGGACATCTTCCAATAGCTTTGAGACCTTCCTGTCTGTAAAGTTCTGTTTTGCACTGGATTACTAAGAAGTTTATTTTGTATTTGTCGCCAGCCCGGACTGCAGTAGTGCTGTCTTGGCTCACTGCAACCTCCACCTCCCGGGTTCAATTGATTCTCGTGCTTCAGCCTCCCGAGTAGCTGGGACTACAGGTACATGCCACTGCACCCAGCTAATTTTTGTGTTTTTAGTAGAGAAGGGGTTTCACCATGTTGGGTAGGATGGTCTCAATCTCCTGACCTCAGGTGATCCACCTGCCTTGGCCTCCTGAAGTGCTGGGATTATAGGTGTGAGCCACTGTGCCTGGCCAGAAATGTATTAATATTTTTTGAGATGGAGTTTCGCTCCTGTTGCCTAGGCTGGAGTGCAATGGCATGATTTCAGTTCACTGTAACCTTCACCTCCCAGATTGAAGCAATTCTGCCTCAGCCTCCTGAGTAGCTGCAATTACAGGCACGCACCACCACGCTAGGCTAATTTATTTTTGAATTTAGTAGAGATGGGGTTTCAGAATGTTAGGCTGGTCTCAAACTCTTGACCTCAGGTGATTCACCTGCTTTGACCTCCCAAAGTGCTGGGATTACAGGCATGCGCCACTGCAACTGGCCCCAGAAATTAATTTTAAATCTTGGGTCTTAAATATCGAATCTTTCTTAACTCTGAAATCACTTGAGATTTTACCAGTGTTTTTATATTTCACAACTATATCTTGGGTTTGTTTGATACATTGTACTGGGCACTGAGTCTTGTCATTGTGTAAACTTGCTCTTCAGATATTGGAAATATTACTGAACTGATTCTTTCCCCATTTCCCACCTCAATCTTTGTTCTCTGGAGTTCTTACTTGGGTTTAAGACGTGGACATGTGTTTCTGTAATTTAATCTTTAAATTTTTGTTGAGACTGATCTTGAACTCTTGGCTTCCCAAAGTGCTGGGATTACAGGCATGTGCCATGGCACCCTGCCTTATCTTTCAACTTTTAGAAACATCCCAAAATTTCAACTGTGTCAATTTCTTTTTTTTGGGTGGGGGTGGCAAGGGGAACCGGGTTTCTCTCTTGCTGCCCAGGCTGGAGTGCAGTAGCATGTTGGCTCACTGCAACCTCCACTTCCTGGGTTCTAGCAATTCTGCCTCACCCTCCTGAGTAGCTGGGACTACAGGTGCACGTCACCACGCCCAGCTAATTTTTGTAATTTTAGTAGAGACAGGTTTTGCTATGTTGGCCAGGCTGGTATCTAACTTCTGACCTCAGGTGATCCACCCACCTCAGCTTCCTAAAGTGCTGGGATTACAAGCGTGCGCCACTGTACCTGGCCCCAGAAATTCATTTTAAATCTTGGGTCTTATATAGAATCTTTCTGGGATTACAGGTGTGAGCTACGGTGCATGGCCAATTGTCAATTTCTTTTTTTCTTTCTTTTTTGTTTCTGAAATGGAGTCTGACTCTGTTGCCCGGCTGGAGTGTAGTGGCACGATCTTGGCTTGTAACCTCCGCCTCCTGGGTTCAAGCAATTCTGCCTTAGCCTCCCGAGTAGCTGGGACTACACGTGTGTGCAACCACACCCAGCTAATTTTTGTATTTTTAGTAGAGACGGAGTTTCACCTTGTTGGCCAGGATGGTCTTGATCTCTTGACCTTGTAATCCACCCGCCTTGGCCTCTCAAAGTGCTGGGATTACAGGTGTGAGCCACCATGCCCGGCCAATTGTATCAATTTCTAAGACCGCCCCCCATCTGTTAAAAATGACATACCAACATACCTTTTTCTCTAAGATTATTAATGATAAACTGTATACATGTTTGTTTCCAAGATACTTTGTTTTCCTGTTGCTTTGGCTTCTGGTTTTCATGTTAGAAAATTTCCTTAGATGTTTGCTGATCCTTGGCTCATATTTAGGAGTGGAGCAATTTAAAAGCAAATTGGATGTTATGTGTGTGGGGCTAGCAGGGGAGCTTTTCAATCACTGGCTTCACTGTTGAGTGATCTGGCTGTGTCACTGAGAAATTACTTGATATATCCCTTGTTTTGTTTTCTCAAGCTGGTCAGGCTCACCAGAAAAGTCTTTACACTCTCCTCCGTAAAGTATTTAAAAGGTGGGTTTCTGATCCCAGTGGAGGGAAAAAGAGGTTGAGGGATCTCAAAAAGTAAACTTTTTTTTTTTTGAATCACTGTGCCTATTTGGTCCAACAGCCCTTTCTTGCTTAAAAGTACATGTCTAGTTTTCTGCCAGGGTTGGGGAGTCAGTTGCCAGCGGAACAGTATCTGGAGGTTTAACTGATTGTTTTTTTTTTAAAGACAGGGTTTCACCATGTTGGTCAGGCTGGTCTTGAACTCCCGACCTCAGGTGATCCGCCCGCCTCGGCCTCCTAAGTGCTTGGATTACAGGCGTGAGCAACTACGCCCAGCCAGTTTAACTGATTGTTAAGTGAATTTCAGTCAATCCTCTTTTGACTTGTTTTATCTGTGTTTCTACAGGTACTTGGGCTGCCAGTTCCTAAATCTT